CACGAAAATGCCAAGAGCAACAGCAGCAACAGCTATACAACAGCAAGCTAATATATGAGGATGCTCAACTTGGAACCCTGGTCCACCATGTAGCGAACAACCTTGGGAGGTAGGGGCAAACTGATCGGTCTCCTGCCATCGTTGCTAAGCATCTCTTGATCTTCCGATTGACTATCAGCGTTCAGTCTAGTTTCATCTTCCCCATTAACTACCAGTGATCGTCTACCGAGGACTCATCACCGCCGTGGTGGAGGACTTCTACACGCCACCTGGGTCGCATTCCGCGGTCGCTACGCGACGGAGGGCGCGGTTGGACCCTTTGTCCGGAGCTGCGCCTGGCCGGAACACATGGCTCACCTGCTCCGGGCCGGAGACACCTGCGTGGAAGCCTTGGATACCCTCAGGTCCTTCGTGATGGTTGTGACTTCAGGGTCCAAGATCCAATGGTCCAAGATCCATATCGAGGTGTGTTGGCATTCCTGGCGTTTCCATCGGCCGAGCCGCTTGGTCACCGGGTCCTGTTTCTGAAACCCACGGAGTCGAGGATGTTTGAGACGTTCATCGGGCGATTGGTACCGAGTGAGAAGGCGTTTTGATGCCTTTTGTGTGCTAACCACCAGCCATGTACCGGAGATGCAGCAGCCATGTTTCCACAAGATGCATTGAATATCATTGAATGCAGTGAGTGTTGTGTTTTTTCATCTTGTTTTTGTTTTCCCATCAATAAATTGAAACTATAAACTACCAAAACACAAAACAACAAGACCATCACAAGAGCAGTCACTTCCGAACATGATCTCAGGTGCACCAAACTTCCTCTCGCCCAATCGAACCCAAAAACCTCTCAAAACCGATGTGATCCGTGAACGACTCACGTTTTCAAGGCAACAGATGGCCAATACCAATCCCTTGGACGCCTGGGCGCAGGCGGTGGAGATAGGCAGCGGAGGGCGTGCCGCCTGTAAGTGACGCCAGCCTCGCTACTAGTAACAAAGGGCAGGCGCCTCTTTGGACCCAGGTCTTCTTGCAGATATCTGGCACTGGCACTTCGCTAAAATTCGAGGTACCTGGACAAATCCTGGACATGCGGGACCCTGTCGTGAATTGGATGACTTTCTTCTTCGTGCAGCTGCGGGTGGCACGGCTCCCATGTCAAGGAATGTTTCTTTTTTTCCCTCACCTGCCAGGTGAGGGTCTTTAGATGTTCAAGTTCAGGCCGAAGATATGCCAGATAGAATGCTGGAAAGATAGAATGCTGGAAAGGATGTCATAATATATGATATACTGTAACTATTCTAGCAAGCAGAAAGAATGCCACAAGATATGCCAGATATATAGGTTGCCGGAAAGGAGTGCAACGTTTATGCCAGGGAGAAAGAGTGGATGCCAGACATTCATACATAATGTCAGAAGATTGGCCAGCTAGAATGTCGGTATAACTGCCAGATAGAAAGAAATAGAAAGTTATGTCAGAGACTATGTCAGAACATGTGTTGGAACAAGTTGCAGGTTTGATGGCAGAACAAGTGTCGAAATACATTGCAGAACACATATCAGAACCAAAGTCGGGCCTCGTGTCACGGCACATGTCAGAGTTCTTCGCACCGGTTTGGTGCGAGAACACATGTCAGAAGTACATGCCAGAATACGCAAACCAACAAGGACGCCAGAACACGTTCCAGAACATGTCCCAGCCTTTTTGATAATTAGCTGTGTCAGAACACATACCAGACTTGATGCCAAGCGTTTGTGAGGATAGTCTGTCCATACATGAGCCCTGCCTTCTTCAACCCCCCCCTCAGGGTAGAGATCACTGGAGGTACATTAATTCTCATGTTCGAGCAAACTTGGCGAGTTTTGTTGTTCTTGCAACGGACAATTATCCAAACGAGACAGTTCCATGAAATAACTACTCACCCGAATCTAGTCAATCGTCCTGTCTCGCAGGACATGACATACTCCGGACTGTTCGCTTGAACTTAGACAAAGTCTTTTGCCTATGTATTGTTTATGTCTCCATCCTTATCCACCCACATGAGGCCCCGCTTTTGGAGAACTGAAGAGTCATCATTGGAAGATGTGTCTTTTTTGGCACCTTTCCAATCCAAACAACATGCACCCCTAGACTAGGAACTCGAGGATCTGAGGATGTGACGTGCGTGCCTGAGTTGTCGTGCTTTCGTGGGCTGGACCAATGGCTGGCACAAGCGTGGCCTTCAGCCAAAATGCTTTGGAACACACCAAAAGTGTTTGAAATACATTTTTCGTTCTACCCAAGTATTCTTGATATCGGGGCCCGAAGCATTTTCGCCCTCCAAGCTGCCCAATGTCTGTTCCAGGCCTGGTGACCGCGGTCGCCCGCTTTCTGGCCTCGCGCTGGCCGCGTGGCAAGCGCGCGCCAGTGCCGCAACAGCAACTGGAAGCCATCAAACGGCTCATTCCAGAGAATCTGAGGTGGACAACTGTGGAATGGAACCAGTGGGGGGGATGTACAATGATGGTACACCAGGCCAAAGAGTTGCTGTATGGCAATAGTTTGTCAGCTGCTTTGTAGCATGACACTCTGCGACGTGCTGGGGCAACTGTAGAGGAGACGAACGCTTGGGCCCCGATGAGACTTCTCGATGATCGATCCCCTTCCTTTCAAAGTGATTTCTACAAAAGATCAAACATTCGACTGCCAACTTTTCAAAACCCATGCGCCTGTGGCTAGTTTCAAGGACCAACAGTATTCAATGCGACGTTACATGATCTTACCCAATTGGGTGTAGGTGGCTGTAAGATTCTCCGTAGCTGTGTTGATGGGAGAGCAAGCGAGCGAGATGCGTGTCTTCCTTGCGTCTTCCGAGTCTTCCATCCATGTTTTAGCCGTCGCAAAGATGTTACGAAGCGGTCAGCATTTGGTACAATTTTTCAGAACCACGTGCGGCATTTTGCGGCATTTGGTTTGTTTGCTGACGGAAGTGTGGATCCTAGACGGGTATAAGAATTGACTTAGGCCAGCTTTTCTGTCCGAATGTGGCAGGATCTTGAGAGCACAGCTTGAGAATGCTTTGAGATCTTGACATCAAGACAGTTCATTCTATAAGGTCTACAATGTGTGACATCATACGGACCTTCCCAACTTACAATTGTCATTTCATAAGCTTTGGATTCTAGATGTAGGTTTCTATCTAGACCTATCATGATCTATTCTGGTTATTTTATAAACTAGTTCGTTTCCCACTTTATATAGGGAAGTACATGGAAATACCTACCCCGGCATTCTATAAACACCAATTGTTTATAACATGAAGAAGTGATGCGCCTATGCACAATCAAGGGGATTTACTGTATATATTATTACTATATCAAGTGTTATTGTTATTATACATGCAGTTTATATACTTCCTGCAACGAATAGGCATCTCTTGAGCCTTGAGGTTCCATGTTCATCAAGCCTGTGTGAGTTTGGGGGTATCCCAAGGTCCTATTCCCAGTTGAACAGTTATTTGCAAGATGAACAACCATGAACAACCTGTTACTCCCGTTATACTCCAGTGTCAATGTTTGTTGAATATCCACTCCCATGGTCCGTGTGCGACGGGGGAATTCGGGCAGGTCCTTGATTCCCCGCCGCATGCTTTTCGCGTCAGGCGACGGGGGCGGCGGGGCTGCGGGGCGAAAACGGCACTGTTGAAGAGACCCTAGACCCTACACTGACAAAAAGCTGCTAAACCTAATTGGCCCTACTGTTTAGCAGCCATAGTATTCCATAACATATGTAGTGACATATAATATATGTGCGTATATTCACTTTCCAAACAAACTGGGTTTGAGATGGTTCTAGACCTTGCAGAGGGAAGTCATGGTCATGGAGTCATAAATCACAGACCTTGCACCAAAAAAAGCCTTTGCAGAGTTCGGGTTCTCATAGACCAGTTCGGTCCAGTCATGTAGAATCTATGTCGACGTCCCGGGACGGCCGGATGCGGTCGGCATCGGTGGAAGCCGTATGCTATGTCGCCGGGCGAGTCTTGGCAGAATTGACACTTCCAATATGGTGAAAGACTCTTTTCTGGGCGTTTCATTTTGGACAACATGTTGAACAGTGTGCGGCGCACCGTGCACTCCAGTTCGCAACTTGACCAGAGTGATCTCGGAGAAGCATCAAACGACTTGGTGTGAAAACCAACGAACGAAACAGTGGACTTTACTGGTAAAGCTTGTTGCTTTTCATGTTTGTCCGGTTTGTCATTTTGCTGGAAGCCATGGAAAACAGACATGGCACCTCTTTTCCACAGCGCCCCAGCGCACTCGCCAGCCCCAACACCCAAAAAGCCTGGATGTGCCGTTGACGAGCAACTCACACCACATGACGAGCTTTGGGAGGCCTTGTGACACAACTAAATGCCCAAATCAAAAGGCCTCGGAGTTTTACAACAACTTTTGGAAAGCAAGTGTCAAAAGTGGGAACCACTGGTTGTTGTCCACTTCACGACAACTCAGGTGGGTGGGAACCACTGGGGCTTCAAGATCCGCGGGTTTCCCCAAGTTCCCAGTGGTTCTTACCCACCTGAGAGAGCAATGGAGTAGCAGATCTGTGAGCAACGGGAAACCCATAGATCAACCGCGTCCACGTGTCATCATCGGAGTTTTTTGAATCGTCTCCTATCCCAGACGCTTCCTCGTTAGATGCCCTATGGGCCCTATGGATCCACGTACCTTCTCCCGTTCGGGCTCCAGTCCAACAACCTTTAGAGGAGCTACAACTGGAGCCGCCCAAACGGGTCTGACTCGACGATAAACGGCGGCGACCGCCCGGAGGGCCCACTCGTACCGTACTGGAGGGTGTATGAGTTATGTGGATCCCTACGGAACACCGTGGTTTCAGAGGCTCGATGGCACCCCAAAAGGTCTTTTAGATGAGGGGTCCATACACCCATTGGATGGTCCAGGTACCTACATCTTCCAACGATGCAACCATTTTTGCGTTTTATTTATAGAAACCAGCCCAGTTCGGCCACAAATGTTTGCATCCAGTTGGAAAGATCTACTGTATTATATATACGGAATATATATATATATATTATATATATATATGCAAATCATTAAAAATCTCTCAATTTTGACCCCAGGTCACCCACCCCCAATGCCCCAAACCGCGCAATGCCCGCGTAGGTCTTTTCCCCCCCGTAACACGGCACGTGCGTTGCCCCGTGTAGGCGGCCGCGCGAAGGCGCTCCGAGAGATGATCGGTCCTCCACGCGTGGAGCGGCAGAAGGGCGGCTTGTTAGAGGCAGTCGACCGCTCTCGGTCTCCCGAGTCGCGGTCCACGGTGGGGTTGTATACGGCGAGGACGGTGGGGGCGAGGTTCGGTGAGTGACAGATTTTTGCAGATGTTCAAACATGTTCAACACATATTCGGATGCAAGGGATTTGTTTAATCAGGAGTTGCAGCAAACTATTTTTAGAAGGACAGGGTTCAACATCATTTAAGACTTGGATGCGCATGATTGGACTGCATGCTTGTGCCTTCTCCGGGTGTTCCGTCGGGCTCAGAAATGGTGGGCAGGGTCACAACTCACCTGCCTGCCTTGGCATGTTCACCACCAACATGCTGCAAATCAGCTTCCTCTCAGGAGTGGTAGCTGCTGATATCCCTTCAGAGGAGTTGTGCCCACTAGTCCAAAGCGACAAACCAGTGAGGGCACTGAAAGAGCATTTGGCAGCTCTCGTTGGAGCTTCCAGGTTTCGACAAAGACTCTTCCATGAGCACATTGAGCTGCAGGACCATTCTCCCTTGGGGGACATGTCCGAATTGCAGCTGGTGATCTTAGATTTTCAAGATGCTGAAGATGAAACAACTCAAGCATTCATGTCAGCATGCAGGGTTGGCACGCTGGCCAAAGTCGAATCCTTTCTTCAATTGCCACAGAACCCCAACGTGCTAGATCCAGAAGCCGACCAAGCACCAATCCATGTTGCAGCTGAAAACGGCCAGTTGGAAGTGGTGCGACTCCTACTGGAGGCAGGAGCTGATAAGGATCTTGCAGCTGAAGATGGTAACACAGCTTTGCAGGAGGCAAGTTGGAGAGGGCACTTGGCAGTGGTGCGAGAGTTGCTTGCTGCAGGAGCTGACAAGAATGTCGTTTGGCAAGATAGCTTAACAGCTTTGCACATGGCAAGCCAGGCTGGCCATGTACAAGTGATGCGGGAGTTGCTGCAGGCAGGAGCTGAGAAGGACCTTGCAACCGTTGATGGCAAAACAGCCTTGCACTGGGCAAGTCAGGATGGCCATTTGCAAGCGGTGCGAGAGTTACTTGATGCAGGAGCTGCCAGGAATGCCATTGAACAAGACGGGTCAACAGCTTTGCACTTGGCAAGTGAGAATGGCCATGTAGACGTGGTGCAGGAGTTGCTCAAGGCAGGAGCCGAGAAGGATGTTGCAACCGAAGGTGGCAAAACTGCATTGCACTGGGCAAGTCAGAGAGGCCATTTAGAAGTGGTGCGAGAGTTGCTGCAGGCAGGAGCTGAGAAGGAGGCTGCAATACACAATGGCTTTACAGCTTTGCACTTAGCAAGTCTAGATCGCCACTTGGGTGTTTTGCAGGAGTTGCTGCGCGCTGGAGTTAACAGGGATGCTGTGGCATGTAATGGCTTCACAGCTTTGCACTTGGCAAGTAAGAATGGGCACTTGGATGTGGTGCGAGAGTTGCTGACAGCAGGAGCTGACACGGAAATTGTCGCCGAAGAAGGTGCGAAAGGTGCAGTAGCTTTGCACGTGGCAAGTTACCACTGTCACTTAGATGTGGTGCGGGAGTTACTGCGGAAACGAGCCAGAGTCAATGCTGCATCACACCAGGGTTTAACAGCTTTAATCGTGGCAAGCTGGCAAGGACACTTGGACGTTGTAAAAGAGTTGCTGCAGGCAGGAGCTGAGAAGGATCTTGCAACCGAAGATGGCAAAACCGCCTTGCACTGGGCCAGTGAGTATGATCGCAAGCACGTGGTGCGGGAGTTGCTCCAGGCGGGAGCTAAGAAGGATGCTGTCGCAGCAGACGGCAAGACAGCATTGGATGTCTCAGCTGAACGACGCCATCGGGCTGTGATGCGAATGTTGCAATCGTGGCATTGAGAAGAATTCTACAGAGATGAGTGGCAGCTGAGGAGACACATACGATGCAGTCGAGTTGAGCAGAATGGCGATTCGATCGGAAAAGATGATTTCCCAAGAGGAGTATTGACAGTAGCTTCAAGCACTGAAGATCTATTATGGGATAGATATGTTGATTCGATCGGATTTCGTGGGTTGTCCTCCCAAGATGTTGTGCACTGGCCCACTCAATATTCCTGATGTTCCTGTAATGACTGTAATTCTTGATCAATATCGCCCCCGCAGAAACCTGTTCATATGTCGTTCATATGGGGTTTTGGTTAGTTAACAGTCTGGACAACCTTCAACCTGTTTGAGGGCAGCTTCCCGGCAGCTTCTTCGGGTTGAAGGATGTTTTACTGCCTGCCTACAGCAGGTTTGTGTGTGGGCCAGGATGGCTGACATTCCCTTGAGGATCAGGGAAGATGTCTTGTACTGTAATTAATCACACTATGTCCAGTCCATGTCCAGTCCATATGGAATTTGGTCTGTCTACTGATGCCCGCACATGCCGGATCTCTTTCTTTGAACTATGAGCCTTCTATGTCAAGACAACCGACTGTAGCCCAAAGAGACACAGCAATGCGCCACCCAGTTCGATCATGTCAGCTTGTAGGTTTGGGAGATGTTAGTGTGTGCTTGTACGTTTATAGGTATATTGTGAAATATCGAATCAGTGGTGCCCCCAGTCTGGAACAGGGGCTCATAGTCTTCTTTGTCCTCAGGCGTACTCTTAGACCCTTAGTCCTTTTGGGTTTAGACAGGATGTCTGTTCTTAGCCACTGAAGGTTAAACCCGTGTTAAACCCTTAGCAAAGGACATGGAAAACCAATTAATTGATGACTTCATACAGCTGAGGATGCCAGCTCTTTGGGATTCCAAATTGCAGCTGAGGATGTCGTGGGGGGGGGCATCAGATGGGGCTGCCTTGCGCTTCCTGGTTTTGCATCATGGTGTCTTTTTTAAAATGTTCCCCTATGGTTGAATATGTTTTATATACTTGAGTTCCAGGTTCCTGGACAAATCCACAGCTTCCATTCTAAGGGTGCAACCCTCCGGAACGGTGCTTGTGCACCGTGAGGCTGCCTGGATCCAAGCGCTACGTTCCTGGTCTGGCACCTGCTGCCCGCCAGACGTGACAGGAGACGTGCACGCGGGGCCGCGACGCGGCGCGGCGACGCGGCGCGGCCACGTAGGACCAGTGGGGAAGGCATCGTTGTTTTGGATTCCAGTGTAGGAGCCCCTGTGCTGTGGAAGAGTCAGCAGCTGATTTGGGCTTGTGTGCTGAGGGCTTTCATGGGGTGCCGGTCTGCATCATACAGCTTTGGATGAGTCGTCAGTTAGCCGACAAAGCGAGGCTCTATGAATCTTGCGGTATGCTGTGACTCTTGAGAATGGACTTCACTCCGGACCCGCCTTGCTTCTCCTTACCCTACTTCTGCCCCCCGTTCGGCGGGTCTTCCGGGTCTTCAAAGCGAGGCGGACATGGTTCAGGAGTGTTCCCAGCCCAAGCACAGACCCAGTCACTTCAAATCCCCAATCAATTACTTTTTTTGAAAGCCAGAGAAACAAATCAACATCTTCTCACTACTGCCCACCACTTCTTCTCACTACGGCGTCCAGGCGGTTTGGCCATCTTGCACCCACCCCCGGCGGGGAACTCCAAGTGGCCCGGCCTTCTGCTGGCACTGTAGGGGCTCCTAGTGACGGACTCCGGATGGCTTCGTGGCAACCAGGGCCAGGGGGGTCGCCTTGTTACACCCCCATGATTAGCCGTGTAGTCCCCTCAAACCTCCAACCATATCCTCAGAAGGTGGTTAGACCCCCCAAACCCGCCCCAACCACCTTCGAAACGGAGGTAGTTTGAGCCCTGGGGAGTATAGGTGTGACTGCTGGTTGAATCAAAGGCAATCATCCACTGCGACCAAAACATCGCAGCGGCTGGGATCGCTGTTTCTTCGACCCAGGCACTAGCTGCTAGTGACGATGGACCGTCTGCTGGGGTGGAGAGAATGTTTGCCTTCCTGTGCCATTTCTGATGAGACCCAATGCCCAGTGCCATGTTTAAGGATCGATCCAGTGGGCCTGGGGAAGGATGCCACTCCGTCACACGTGACATGGTCCCTTCCCGTGAAGGAACAGACCCTTCCCTTCCGAACGGAAAAGGGTCCATTGGATCCTCACAACGTCGGGTTTTGAACATCAGCGATGTCCTGTCGTTGGAGACCTTCGGGTCCGTCACCCTGGGCCTCTCGGCCTCTTGGGGGGGGACTGCCATTCACTACCGTCTGTGTTCGTTGGAGACCGAGCTTCGAATGGATGGGATGCTGGACACCTGACACCAGAAGGTCTCACCATTCCGTTGGATTCCTGGAGATGGATCACCATCGGGTGACGAATGGATGCATGGGAATCGCTGCATGATTTCTTGAAGTGGCGAAGGGGACCTGTTCCAAGTGGACCTCTTCACACATTGCCTACCCGGCCTACCCGGCCTACCCCTACCGTTTTTTCTAATCAGATTCCATGGCGTTCGCGACACGAAGTGACAGTCAACTACACTCCGACTCCCCTGCCATGGAAGTGGAGACTTCGACATTTCCAGGGGCCGGCGCCGTCTGAAACGTCTCCCGTTTGGATCGTCCACAGACGCAGGTGCTTGGCCTGCGAGTCCCGAGATCGAGAGTTGCTCAGACAGGCGCCGCTTCGTGGAGGACGGTGTTGAACTGTTGGATGCTTGCGCTCGGTGGAGGTCGAAGGCGTCCGGCCGCCCGTGAAGGAAGAAACAGATGGAAAATCATTGGTTTGAGAGTAGATGGCACATTCCACCAAGTTTGGTGGCTTGTATAGACCCCATCTAAAGGACATCTTGGCGATTGTGCCACCTACTCTGAAACCGATATAGGATGCTCCGAAAACTCTGGCAGTTCTCACAGATTCTTACAGTTTTGTTTCTCTTAATCTGCCTGAGAGCGGTTCTTTGGACAGACAAGTTGTAGGAAGTTACAGTAATTGGTTGATTGGAGTTGTAGAGTTTCTCTTGTACTTGATAGTACTTGATACAAGACACAAATATCAGATATTCTCAGTGAACTTCGTGTCCTTGCAATCTCAATAGCTCATATTGATTGATCCTAATTCTTGTTGTTTGTGAATAAGTCCCAGCAGCAATGATCAAAGGTAGAGGTAAGCATGGTAGGCGATCAGTGCCTCAGAGGGTACTGCGTACGGTCATGTGGTGTGGTCTTTTATGCGACCGACGACCTTTGCGGTGAATTCATTCCCAGACCATCCAGGTATGAAATACTGCGTATATATAACATTATATATATGCCTACATAATGACATTGCCCCCAGGTCAACCACCCCAAGGAAATTGCCCCCCGGGCAAGTTAGGGGATCTTGAGTGCCAAAAGGGGGGTTGAGGTGACGGCAGGAGTTCCTCCCCCATTGAGAATTCTTTCAACTATGTTTTTTTTCTCCAGTGCCTGGCCACGTGGGGGGGTGCTGTCCCCAGGTTTGATCCTGCGTGGTAAAGTTTTGGCTTGGCTTGTTTTGAGCTCTTTTCTTTGGGATGGATGACGCCACTGAAGCGTCCAGCGAGGACGAGGTGCTGGAGGCGTCAGAGGCGCAGCTCTGGGCAGCGCTGCCACGGAAGCTGCGCAGTGCACTCTCTGCATCCGGGGGCGTGCAGCCTGAAGACGCCATGATTGCTTTCGCGGTCGACGACGCGGACGTGCCTCACTTTCTGGCATCTTTGTCATGCACACGGCTGGGGCTTTTGGGTTTGCGAGTGCAGCCTATCACTGGCAGAGAGTAGCAGGGGCCATCGTGCGGTTGGAGCATATCTGTGCGGGTTGGAGCTGGCATTGTATCATCTGCTCTTTGCTGACGATGGCTTGTTGCTGGCAAGGGGCGAAAGGGTTCTGGCGCAAACAGCTTTCCTGGCTCTACGTTTTACGTTTTGGATTTACTGGAAGTGCCCTTGTCCTGGAAGAAGGTAGTTGGTGGGATCAAGTTGGCGTGGATCGGCTATATCAGCTGGACGTCGAAACTTTTGCAAAGGGCTTGAGTGATGCAAGAGTAGCATGGCTGATCAAGTGGATTGATGCCCGGATGCGAGAAAGGCGCGTGACAGGGCAGCAAATGAAATCTGCACCGGGACGAATGGCCTTTGTTGCGGGTGCCCTAAAGCATACCAGACCATTCCTAGGGCCTAGCAAGGCTTGAGGCGACCAAGCTGGTGGCGCTGCCCGCCGGAATTTACGCAGTATTGTGTTTCTTCAAGCATGAAGTGCTGCGAGCTCCTATGGCAACTCCCAGTCCCATCCCACTGTCGGACAGCCTGCGATGGCTTTCGACAGATGCAAGGCAGAGGGCGACTGGGTCGTACTTGGATGGGAGAGCTTTGGAGGCACCACGCCCATGGGTCAGCATCAGATTGAGCCGGGCCAATGCACCGTGGGCTTACAGCAAGGGAGAGCCATTCAAATGCATAGCTGCGCTTGAGTTGGCGGCGGTTCTGTGCGCAGTTTGCCTCTTCGCGCCACGCGGGCCGTGGAAGAATCGTCGGAGCACGATTTGGATCAAAGGGGCAATCCAACACATATGTCAGATAAGTACATGACCACCACTTACCCCTCGTTCATCGTCCTCATGGAACTGGCTGCCCAGCCGAGCGGCAAGGGCGTCGCACTGACACTGACTGGAGGTGTCGCGACGACAATGTGGAAGCTGATGCGCTGACTAATGAGGATTTTACATATTGTTTAACCCCGCTCACAGGGTTCACCTGCAATTTGAAGATTTCAGTTTTGCGGTGCTCCCAGCATTGCAGAACGTGGATGAGCTGTGTCCACAGAGCAGCAAGCGGGAGGCGATCGAAATTTTGGGGGCAGAGGCTAAAGCCAAAGGTGCCCTCCGGACGGCCGACCCATGGTGAGAACAAAGATGCGCAGGCTGGCTGCGGGGGGGTTCGTTTCGCTTTGGGGTCCTCCCCTTCTTAGGAGGTTGGCTTGCCTTCCTTTCGGTTGGGGTGTTGTTTGTCAGCGGCAGGCTGATGTTGAAGCCCATGGAGGGCCAGTGAATTGGTCCAGGGCTCTCTTTTGGCCAAACCCCAGCTTACGGAGAAAACAAAAGCCTTGCTTGCCGGCGGCCGGTGTTGGGGATCTGCGGGGACTGTATTCTTCCTCCAATTTCCCTCCTTTTAGTCTGTTTAGAAAAACTTTGGGGTTTCCCCTGCATGCACGGCTAGATCCCTGTAGGTATATATTCCAGTCACACAGATGGTCTGGGAGTCTGGGATTTGCGGTGTTCTTAAGGTGCGACTCGTTGTAGACATCAAACCCAAACAGACTGAATCGGGGCTCCATCAGGCACCCAGGAATCCTTCCACGGAAAGCCTCCAATGAGGTGGAACAGGGCATCCAATGTGTGGGACGTGGATGCCCAGTGCTGATGAAGTTGCAGATCATGGAGTGGCGCGGCGTCACCGTGGGTGTCACTAACCCGGTCCGAGCATGGTCGACCCTAACCAGAGATGAATGATGAGAACAATTAGAGTGAACTGGTCAAGTCTGGGATGAAGCACATACCTGAGGCAAACTCTACAACATGGCATAGGAAGATTTAAGCTTTGCACTTGCATGCCAGTTCTGGCAGTGTAAATATTTTAGTTTTTGCAGAGAGAACCTGGGATTAACTACATTAAATGCTTAATCGAGACTCAACAAACAGGCGTATACATTGTATTAACAAAACAACATGTTTTTGCAGATACAGCTTCCCACCAGCTTTGTTGGGAGTTGGGACACCGGGATTCACATGTTCACATGAACAAATATAGACAAGGCATGCTCGTGTATGGCATCTCAGGATGTTTCAAGGCACGCCGATGTTTCAGAAACAGTTTGCTGATGTCAAACCGAGGCAACATGCCTGGAATGTGTGGAAAGACCCAGCAGCAAAGAGGCGCTTTCTTTGCGGCGTGCATCATGATGAAACTCTGAAGTGGCATGGTCATGTTCCCGGTGTTTGACTCACTCATTCCACACAACTCTTTTGCTGGACACCGGAGACAGCAATTATGCCCATCGTGTTGACAAACTCAGTTGCCGAGTGACTGCCCCACACTGAAGTCCAGTCTGATACACCATGATAAACCCTGCAGTCATTTTCATGAGCTATACTGTCTGGAATAATCTACTGGATGCGAATGGCACCACCTGTTTGGTATTCAGATAATGGTCATCCAAATCGGGGTCATGTTCTACTTCGATTCCAGAAAGGGTAGACTCTAGACTTTGTTTCCCCAGGTAGACTCGCAGCCATTCGACTAACTAGATCACGGGTCCTTGCTCCGTGAAACACCTGCATGGGAGGTGGCTGCCCCTATTGCAGCTGGTGCTGGAACGCTTCAGGTGCGTATCACGTCCCATATCAGAGCAGCCATGAACCCCCAAGTTTCTGAAATTTTCTGAGTTTCTGGATGTTCTGAACCTGCGGACATGTGAGTTCCCCTATATCTCGCTAAAGCATCCTGAAAGTTGGGAACAAACAATGGCAAGGAAGACAAGAGTAGTTGTTGCTTTTATGCGCAGATGTTCAAAATATTTCAGGAGTGTCACATGGTCATTACGTTTCTTCAGGCGTCCCCGATTGGCCAAAAGCGCTTCGCGCGGTGAGCGGCTGCATGTGCTCGGCACCGGGGAGACCTTGGCATTTCTGAAGGCGAGCCAGTGACAATCTGAGACGATGCAGGGTTGAATGGAGATTGGCAGGATGCTTCCTGCTTCGCAGGAGTTCCGGATTTGTTAGAAGGAGCATGTCCCCATCTAGGTGTCCTATGCTATTCAAAATCAGATCTGTCCAAACAGCAACTGTAATTGTGTGGTGAGGTCGTGCAAAAGTCCAGACCAAGAACATCCAAGAAATGGATTCTTGGATTCTTGGATCCCCCTCAAAAAAGCTCGACGTCCCTCAAAAAACGGACGTCCCTCACCCGTGTATGTCATGCCCGTTTCGAGACCGTGAAACTCCGGGGAGACCGTGCGGCTCTAAGGCCGGAGGTTCGAACCCAGTCTCTGGTGGACTCTGTTGGGACACTCTGTTTGAAGTACGGAAAAGTCGTCACTCCGTTCGTGACACGTGAATCACCACGTGAATCACTTGAAGAGAACCTTAAAGCTTTTGGGGGAGGTTTTACCCCACTACGGAAAGCTTCAGCGGTCAGCGGTACTTTGGAGCTGAGGGAGTCGGATTAGATAGCATGGTTTGCAGGAGGATTCCATGCTAATGGGTGTGCTACAGCACAAAACCCAAGTCGCTGGAGCCAGCGGTGGTCTCTAGAGGGGCTAAGATGCTTTTACTGGATTTTTCAGGGAGTGTTTCTCTCAAACCCAGATCGGCTCCATGTAGCAACCCTGTCTCCCTGTGGTGCTAAGACGCGAGGACTCTCTTCTTGTTCAAAGGAAGTCTTTGCATACCAGCAGTTGGAGTGAATTTGCAGCTACAGCATGCTACAGTCGAGCATAGCCTTGTAAGTCTTGGCAGAAAGACCCAATCTCATTCAATCTCCACAGAATCACCATGTATGTATGAAAATACTATCCTCCATGAATGATGCCCTAGACAATGGTGACCTGTTAGACATCCTTGTCCTATGAAATTCTTTGGATACACATCCAACCCAACCTAACATATTCTACGAACAGTTTTATGAATACAGTGCCGTGCTTTCAGAGTATATAGATGGCACAGGCACCTCAAGATGTCTTTTAGACAGATGGGGGATCCAGTCCTAATACCACCCAACTAAGTTGGGGTAACTTGTGCCATCTACGTCCTCTCAATCCACCTGTACCACAGATCCCCCCATCCACCACGGCGATCCCCCCACATCCCTTCAGGCCGGTGGCTCCATGGCCCGGTTCGGGGATGGGGAGTTCTGGTCCATGGACCGCGGCTTCATCACACCGGTGGTGCGAAGTCGCTTCTTACAGGAGCGGCTGGGTCCGCCGCCATCGAGCCCGGGCTATGCCAACAGGGTCTGAAGGAAGAGTCCAGGAACATGAACTGCTTAGATTTGGAGGTGCTTTTGGTTTTATAAAACATTATATATATAAGTTATAGTAGACTATTCCGAATTGGACATAGGTACAAGAAACTGTTTACCTTGCCACCCTCAACCCCCGGAGCTGGGTCATTTCACACTTTGCACTACTTGAATTTGCTTGAGGCTTGGTAATGGATGTTTGGGTTCTGTTGTAGTGTGGCTGACGCAAGCTGCCTTGGGTAAAGGTGATTGTTTTGTGGGGGGGCTGTGAGAATGGTCCTATGTGAGGCATCCAATGCCGACCCAATACATACACGCCTGAAATTACCAGACCACGTGGTAACCTTTCACCCGCCTAAAGGACAGTGGGAAAATCTCTCAGCCCAGCACTGCCCACCTTGCATATCATATGCCCTTCCCTAACGTCATGCGCGGACATGATCCAATCACCCATCTTCCGATGTCGTCACGGGTATCTTTGAAGTTTAACATATTAAGATTACATCATTTGCTTCATGATCCTCCCATTTCTTCCACTAGACCAGCCATGCAATAACACCCCCACCCTCCAACCGCTAACTCGGTGACCGCCAGTGGAGGAGTCCTTGGTCTACGTCGCGCGCTTGGGCACCAGCGGCTGTCCGGGCTTCAAGCCGGCCATGGTGGACGTCTTAGGCGTCTTAACGCGAGGGCGCACCGGTGGGCGTGCTTGGGGTGAAGTGCTTGGGTTCATATTGTGCAATGTTGATTCAAACATGACATGACATTTCCTGATGTTGATCTATGTGTTTAAATTGGACTTTGCGATACAGGCTGTGTTACGCATAGGCTTATTCCAGGTACAACCATAGCAGACCTTTTGAAACCACTCAATGGTTTAAACGTTGACGTTCTTCACCATTTGGACCTTCCAGACCTCAGCGGCCGCCCCAGGCCTCGAGGAGACCTTCCCGGATCGCATGAATTACAACTGGTGGCGCGACCGGCCCTTCTTCCGGCAGATCCCCTTCCGCTACTTCCCGCCGGGGATCTATGGACCCTTGGACGGCGTTGGACGGCTTGGACGTGGGTGTGTTGAACATCAGGAGATCCTCCGACCTTGAATGGTGCTCTTGATGTTTCTGGATTCGATCTCACACCCATACTATATCATATATGTCCCAGGGCTTCGAAACACACACAAACAAAGGACGCACCACCTGAGCAAAAACATGCACCACCTGAGCTGCCCCTGGTCTTATGCTCGGGGATTCGTTCGCTCGGAAGCACGGGGAGGCGCAGGCCTGGAACATCTCGATCGACCTGAGGAAATATGTGGACCAACTATCGACCTGCGGGCTCTTCGCGTCACACCACCATCCGCCGGAACTTCGTGGAGGGATGGGAGGAGGCGAGGTATGGCGAGGTTGAGGGAGGGGGGAGTCCAAAGGGCGGCTGAACAAGTGCGTTGGGTGTTGAACTGGACTTAGTTGCTTAGGGGTGTGAGCAGCTGTGGATTTTATTTTGCGGAGATGATGTTAAAGGTAGCTTCATGCCAAAGATGAATGCCTGGTGCGGTGCAGATCAAGAATCGGTACCATGCAGTGCCAATGAAACAGAAGTACCGTCAAGGTGATATGTCAGGCATTCAGTGCTGATTAGGGCTTTGCTGTGTCCATGATTTCACCAGCCTGAATGACCCCTCCGGTACGCTTCCACAACAATAGTTCCATGTATCGAATCCAGATTTTGCACAATGCATACTCCGTTGTAGGTGCTTCATCGTTTGTATCAGCTTTCTCTCAGTTTTTTCAGGGACAGTGAAACAAGAGGCGTGTTGTGTTCAGCAGGAGTAGGCACACTGGGTGGAGGAATTGGATGGAACACGCAGACATTCTCGCGAGGGCTTGTTTGTGCGGAGCATCTGCTTCTGGCTCTGTCAGGTCTTTGCTAACAAGCATCTTGGAGAAGAAGGATGCAAGGCTCATGCTCTTGATGGACAACACCTTGAACTAGCTGTGGAACCCCAAAGGAACTCTGGACTGAAATCCCAAGTGGTAGTTCCTCTAAGCTTGCAAAAACTTTGGTCTCCATCCATCTGGGCCAAATGTGGCTTGGAAGTCGGTTGTCACTTCATGGGGTGGTTCGCAAGGATTAAGTCATGCAAGGAAAAGACTCCTGTCGTATCTCCCTTACGCAAGAGAAGTTGTTCGACTTCTACCCAAGTTTACAGCAGGGGGTGGGTTAATGCTTCACTGTTTGAATCAATCGTTTCCCTTGAAGTTTTCCCACAATCCTTCGATCACTAATGATTTTGGGGAGCGTTCTTTTTCGGAGCCTTAGTAACACCAGAGATGTTGGGGCCGAAAGACGCAGCACACAGCCACCAGACGGTTTTTGCCGCTCTTTACAGACACCCGTTGGTTGGTCCACTTTGAAGTACCAGGACACTTCAGGTCTTGACATTCCCATTCATGGCCCCAGTGGCCCCTGAAAATGACCAGTCCCATGGTCTCAGGTCCGACAGGTGCGGTGCATCACGGTCGGCAAGCACCGATTCTGGTTGCCCTCGACCCTCCACCTCCAGACACCAGGACAGGTCTCTTCATGCTTTTCGCTATGCGTGTGACAGGTCGGCCACAACATGATCAAACACCTTGACGCACTGAGGTAGTTGGACTCCAAATGTCCAAACTGTCTACCTGTCCAACTCCCCCAAACTGAATGAAGCAACGGTGATGAAGCATTCTCTTTCCTGCCAACTACGCTGGTTTGGTCTACCGCTTATGCATAAGTTGCTGCATAAGCGATGAATTCATGTCGAAGCCCTATAGGCATATAGGGCTCCGTTCTATCCTCAGGTTTGGTGTTTAGACTTCCCCCTGGCACCCACCTGCCCCACCCTCTGTTAACGGAGGTACTAAAAAGGGTCTCCGGAAGCCCGGGAAGTCAGACCTTCCGTTCTACCTCTCCCGATGCGATGAGGTCGGTACTGCTGGTGGGCCATCCCTTTGCCCAAGCAGCCACTCAGGGCAAGGCCACCGGCGTGATGTTCGGCGCACCGAAGGCCGACTACGACTTCCCAGCCACCCGGGCCTGATGGGACGTGCCGGACCGGTGGGTGGTGGGTGGAGGAAGCTTCGCGGTTTGGGGATCTGGTGGTTTGTGAGGGGAAGAAGGCAACCAACCTCAAAATCCCTCAAAATCCCTCGAAGCTTTAGTCGCACAAAAGTGCCATATCCTGCTCTCCATAGCAATTCTGGAAGGCGTTGTTCTGAGGTCTCCCTTTGTGGAACACGTGTCCGCTCAAGCTTCATAGGCCCCTACTCGGTTGCCTGCGCAACTGAGGTGTTGCTAAAGAAACCCTGTGCACTGCATTGCACTGCTATCTTTGGAGTGAAAAGTGTAATCCAGAGCTTGGCATCTTTCGTGAATACATCACATGGGACTGTTTGCTAGGTAGTTGTAGAAGTTTATAACCCAAAAACCAAAGTGATTGAGCTCAATAGGAGATCTTCAATAAACTCCGGCAGACTTTGGTAGAGGGACCAGGGATTGTCCTCTTCCAAACTGCTTACCTTGCGCCATTTATGTTCAGGTGGCAACTAATTGCTTTTGATCAAGCACAGCTCGAAAGGGCGAGTGTTTGATTCCAGGAAGTTGGGAGAAAAAGCGAGAGGTTTGACTGGGTTTGACAGATCAATTTCCCCCAACATCAAAGACCAGTGCCAACTGTTGTAGAATAGGTTGAATCAGTGCCTCAAGCCAACCCAGAACCCAACATACTTGTTCCAAATCGTTGTATGTCTTTCTTTGCATGAGCCAACTATATGTCACTCCAGGATTTGTTTCATGTAGTCCATAGTCTATTTACTTATATAACCCAAAGGTATCCAACTATTCTTCTAGTCATTGCTTGCTTGCTTGCTTGCTTCGCTTGCTTCGCTTGCTTCGCTTGCTTCGCTTGCTTCGCTTGCTTCGCTTGCTTCGCTTGCTTCGCTTGCTTCG